TTTGAAAAGCATTAGTTATATGAATTTCTGTTTTGCACTGTTAATGTTTTCCTACTGTATTCATCTTAGCTCTTTGTGATGTTTTGATTGTTTCCTTTATGGTCATTTACTTTTCCAGTGTGTCTAAAGTGAGCACAACTTGGAAGAAGATTCTAGAAGATGATAAGGGAGCATTCCAGTTGTACAATAAAGCAGTGCAGAGAGTTACTGTAAGTCTTTACTGTTGATGTTTTCGTTTTAAAATACACTGCTAGTGCTTTTTCAGAAATAGGAGGCAAAAATAGGAAAGAAAAAGTCTGGAAACTCTCCATTACGTTCACAAAGTATTTCAACCTTGCACTAGAACTTATTGAGAAAACAAATTCAAAAATAAAGAGAAAGAAATCTCACCTCAGTCATTTATTTCTTAGGCTCTCCCTAGAAATAGAATGTCTAAAGTAACAAAGGGGAAATTACTCAGTTCTTAGATAGGGGTAGTTGACCATATAGCCAATCTTGATTGCCATTTGTGTATTATGTTTTGCAATCTTTGGAAAATTTGGAAAAGCTGTTTTACTTTTTAGTTATTAAGAAATAGGAGCAATGAAATATTTTTCAGTTACCAAGAAACAGTTAAATGTCAACATATTGAAGATTCTTAATGTAGGAGGAAAATGAATTTACTTTTCCAAAATACTTAAGTTATTAATGCTTTGGAAGTGTTTCTGAGAATCAAGATCAGTACATGAATAAAAAGTTCAGGCCTTGAAGTTGGACAGACTTAAGTCCAAATTTTGGTGTTGTTACTTACTGGCTATGTAACTTTTGTCAATTATTGTTTAAATTCTCCAAGTTTAGTTTCTTTATCAACAAACTGGTGTTAATGGAAAAATCTAATCTGAAAAGCCGATTTTAAATCAGAGATACTTAATGTGACTGTTGCCATCTGCTGGTGGTGGGAAGAATAATCTTTTGTTCTGGCAGTAGTACTTTGACATTGGTTAGTTACAAATCATGTATTAAATTCTTTACATAATCACATGTAAAGTGATTTCTCACAATTTCTGTCAATAAGTTAGGCTTTACATGTGTGAATATTAAGGTATCACTGTGTTTAAGCATGTGTGGGTAAATTGCGTGTAGGGATAAGTCTTTTACATTCTTATTTGCCATTTCTTACATGTACAAACATAACAAAAATATCTGCTTGTTGGTAATATAGGAAAGAAAAGTTGTAAGTTTCTATTGAAACTTTTTTTTAATTAGGAAGGCAACATTAAGTTTTCACCACATGCTTCAACCCGAGAGTACGTTATGTTCAGAATCCCATTGACTTCTGTTCAAAAAGCAGCAGTCCAGACTCCTCCCCAAAAGGATGCTCAAACCAAGTTATCCAATCAAGGTGATCGGAAGGGTTCTACTTACAGTCGACACAGTGAATTCTCTGAGGTAATTCTTTGTTTAATCAATAAATTAAAAGCATGATCATTTATGTTTAAAAGGATATGGAGTGAAAAATGGAAAAAACAAACTTTCAAGGTCAAAATGTAACTTGGCTCTAGATAATTACTAACAAATGAGGACACCTGATACTGATGGTCATTTAAATTTAATTATAGTGTTATAATTCAAATTATTAGGGAATTGTTAGTGGGATAGGAATCTTCTGTCCCCTTCATTTTATTCTCAAAAATGTGGGAAACCAAAACACTGTTCCAAATTAGGAAAGTACACAGAGATGTCTTTGTATGAATAGTAGATACTGCTTGGCATTGCTTATGAAAGTTCAATGATGTTGAGTTCTAATTTACAAACACTAAGAAAATAATGAAAAACCTTGATTTTAAAATTTATAAAACTACTCAATGCTATGTTTTGCAATTGCTGCCTTTAATTGAGGAAGAGAGCCAAGCAGCAAAAGGCCACCTTTCTGAAATCATCGACCTATTATACCTTTAAATCATTGGATGATGTGTGTTCAAAGTTCTACTCACATGTAGATAATTTTGCAAGCTTAATTTAGAGAATCATAATCTTATCTAAGAGTCATAAATTTTTTAATGTTGACTATGTCATATTTTGGTCAATAAATAGAAATTCTATATGGTAAAATTTAGTTTCTGTCTTAAATGCTTATGATGTATGACTGTTACAACATGTAAACTTATTCAAAAAATATTTATTGAGGATCTGCTATCAGGTACTATTATAGATAGGAAAACAAGGTAAACTTCAGATCCTTACAGTCTAAATAGAAGATAGCTGCATAAAAATAAATGCCATATGGTGTGATAAGGTGCTATTAAAAAAGACAGAACTACAGGCGAAAGAGCAACCAACTCCTTAACAACACTAGGAAGACTTTACAGGAAATGTGACATTTAAGTTAGGCATTGGTGTGTGAGTAGCATTCACAAAGTAAAGGAGAGCACATGTAAAAGTAGCAATAGGAAATGAAATAGCCATTAGACCACTTGACAAGTGATGCTATCTGTTCTGTCGCCCATTGAACAGTAAACTTAAGGGCAG